CCTCTGCTCACGGCGCACGACCACCCTTCTTCAGCAGCTTCCTTGGCTTCTACGACTCTTCCGCTACAGGTAAGGTGTCGTGGACGTCGTGGGAGTCTGGATCTGTTAATAAGTTTTTTTTTTTTTTTTTGGGGGGGGGGAGGGGGACGGTTTTGTTTTTTGTTTTTTTGTTGTTTTTTTTGGTGATTTATTCTCGTGTTATAATTCGAGCTTGAGTGAATGAGCATGCATTAATTTTGTCGGACATGAAATCAGTGATGCAGTCTTTGACAAACTCATACATCTCGCTGCTCATTCATGTATTATTCACTCTCTTATCCATAATCATTCACACACACACAAACACACACACGCGCGCACACACACGACACGAGAAGGTATGTTCATGGGATCTAATTCACTCACACAACTCCTGCCTTGCCCTTCCCTTCTCTTCCCAGGTGGTGGACACCAACGCCACCGCCCTCGTCACTCCTCGCCTCACCCGTTCGCTCGATTGCCGCCCACGCCCACACGCCCACGGCGACGGAAGCTGCACGCCCTCTTGTCTCAATGGAGGGCGTTGCGTCCGGCAACCTTATGGCACCGACAGGTAACATGGCAACGAATTTAAGATTATGTTTGTTATGAAATTAATGTATTTTGTGATGATGTGCGGCCGGTTTGTTTAAATTGCGCAAGGGCCGAGCAAATCAATTACGTATCTACGGACATGTATATACACAGAAATAAATGCGTATCTCTCTGTCTCTCTCATAGATGTACATTTATCTATCTGTTCGGGAGATATGTATGTCTAGACTGATATATGATTTATTTCTGTGTATATGGATGTCCGTATATGTGGCTCATAGTTGGGTCGGGCCTCGCACCATTTTAACAAAGCGGCCGATAAACTAGAGAATTCAATTATTTGTTTACTTGATCTATCTCTTCCTCTCCTCTCTTGTCTCAAAAAGGTGCATCTGTCCGGGCGGATCCTTTGGCTCCCGCTGCAAGATCCCCGCCCGCTCCTTCAGAGGCACAGGGTGGGCGTGGGTGGCGCCCCTCCCCCCTTGCCTCCCGGCGACTCTCTCCTTCAGGGTCCTCACGAACCGCCCGCGCGCGCTGCTCCTTTACTCGGGTCCCCTCTCGACGCCCGCGACCTCCCCGCGCTCTCTCCTGGCCCTACAGCTGGAGGGTGGGCGGCCCAGGCTCATCTATGAGGGGCGGGCGGGCAAGGTCGACCTCCTGGTGAACACGAAGGTCGACGACGGCGCCTGGCACTCCATCTACGCCCATTTTGGCACCAAAGTATGTGGGATTTCGTGCGGGAAAGATCAGTGTGTTTGTGCGAGTGTGCGAGGAAGATGCATCGGAGTGTGATGCCGTTCTTTTATCGTTCAACATCTTTTCCTCTATGTGTGTGCGTCCGGGCGTGTCTAGTATATAAGTGTGTGTGAGAGGGAGAGAGAGAGAGAGAGAATGAGATCAGGTGCAGTGTGAGTGTCTTGCCAAAAGCACGGCAAATTGGCACACAACAAAGTCTCTGACGAGGGACTGACACACGCGCAACCCTAAGGCCCAAAAGACTGTAGGGCGGTAGTGTGATGGCTGATGGACCGGCGCGGCGCGGATGGAAGGACCACGACGACCACGACGACCCCCGGAGCCAGCGCAGCGCCCTCGACCGCGGCGCCTGGCTCGGGGTGGAGCCTCTGCAGGTCGGCGGGATGGCTCGCACGCCCTCACGCCCACACGCGAGCGCTGAGCCTCCTTTCTCTCGGCTGGTGACGGAGGGCTTAGACGGCTGCGTCGCCCACCTCGTCATCAACAGTCAGGTGAGAAGCAGGTGTTCTAGGGCGAGGCTGAGCGTAAGGAGGTAAGCAGGGACACGTGATCACATTGTACACCAGGGGGAAAATTATAGACAAATTTCTTCAAAGATGATACGAACTTCTACATCGAGTCCTCAGTGCCGCTGATACTGATACCACAATGTCGTGTGTGTGTGTGTGTTGAAATCTAGATAAATCATTATAATATTAGATACTGAAAATTCCTGTATTTCATGGCATTACATGAAGTACTTTAGATTTGTATTCCAATCTTAATATATGTTACAAAGCTTACTAAGAATACATATAATATATATTTCCAAATGAATCTCTGGAAAGTTCTAATTTGATAAATATAAAAGGCCGACCCTGCTTACCAAGACAACCACCAAAAGCCATCGCTGGTCCTCAGATCTCTTGAACGAAGCCAACGGACAGGTGTCAGACCGACTTGGGCTCAACCCTCAAGAGCTGCATAGATGCACGCTAATCATCAGCCGATCAGTTGTTCCATCATCACGGCACTTTTCACTGTAGCTATACAGATGATTTTTTCCTGTTCGACAAAAGTGGAAGATTCCTAAACATCCAGATAAAATTGTGTGTTTGTGTTGGTGTGCATATATATGATGTGTGTTGTGTGTGTGTGTGTGTGTGTGTGTGTGTGTGTGTGTGTGTGTGTGTGTGGATGTGGAAATTTAGGAATCTACCACACTTGTTTAATGAAAGGAAAAATCACGTGGGCATCGCCGCAGTGGGAAGTACCGTGACGCCTGGACACCGTACGAATGATCATATGATGCTGGGAATGCACCCGCAGTGAGAGACCGTGAGGGTTGACGGCCGCACTTTTCCGCTATTCAAGACCATGGTGTGCGTTTTTTTGTGTGTGTGTGGTTCTTTTGGTATTTAGGGTCTGCCATTTATAGTTATCAGATTACTAAGAACTTTCCAGTGCTGAATATTTTGAATATATATTTTTTTCAACAAGCTTTGCAATATATTAAAATTGGAATATGAATTTAAGATATTTCATGTGAAGCTATAAAAATAGTAAAATTAAAGAAATTTTAATATCTAGTTTCCTTAAATCCTTCCTTACAGGAATTTGATTTTGATAGATTTAAGATAATTAATTCAACCGAAAAGACGAGATAGTTCTCATGATATTTCATACGGTGTGGTCAGGAATATCTAATCGTATACATGCTATAGTTAGATCTTTCATTATAGGATTCATATGGTAGCCGGGTTTGATCTATCTTCTGATAGTTATTAGTTGATTAGTTATCAGTGGTTTATGTGTTTATATACATAGGTTTGGTATTGTTATAAGTTTTAAATATAGTTATGTCTGGTATATATTATTAATCTATTATTTAGGTAACTTATATGTTTTACTGATTTTTGTACTAGCTAATGTTGTGACTGGCATAGCAACTCACTTGATATACGGAATATTTAACTTTTGGCATCTTTTTTGGTTTGCGGCTAAGTTGTTGCTCATCTCGATTAGTTGCTATACCTTATTTTGTGTTTGGTTGTGGGTCTATTAATTGACTTATAAGTATTTTAATATAGTATAAATTTGATAATTTGAAGTTTCGTTTCTCATTCCTTAGCATCTGTCTAGCTGTAATGTTTTACCCCTCATTCCCCATTTTGTTTCATTTTTTAACATTTTTATAATGATGGTATAAGGGTGGGCGGTCTGTATATCTAAAATGAGAATGTATCTGTGTATAATGCATCAATGGAGATAGCTATAGCAGGTAGATCAAGATCATATCGTAATATTTTATATGTGATATGTATAATCTATAGATTTAATTAATATTATATTATTAGCTGATAGGGTTGTGATCTTGTATGATATGGATTATTATGATTGGTCTTGGAACATATAGAATAATATTATATATAGGTTTAGTATATTGATAGATATTGGCACACATAAATAACAGTTATTTTATAATTGAAAGAAATACATATATATATTTTATCTATATTAATATAATGTAAATCATACAGATATATAGATGATATATATGTATATATGTTCTAATATATATATGAACTCTCCAATTATTACTTGTGCTTAATTTCAAGTGTGTCATTGGGGATGAGAGAAGAATAAGAGTAAATATACATCTATTTCATTCATATATTTTGAGTGTAGTAGATTATGCTTAATAGTACTCGCAACTCTTGATAGTATGATAAGAGATATATATATATTAATCACTATTAATTATACCTACTACATATATGATATGAATACTATTAAGATACGTTGACATTATGGGAAAACTATTAGGACAATGTGTGGAATTCTTTATATTTTATTACTTTATTTTACTTATCTATATATTTACTCTATTCTATATTGATTATCTGATTATATTATTCTTCTCTCCCTTTCTCTCTTTTACCATTACATTACATATATACAATACATCCTATAATATTTATTATATATGATATATATACTATCTATATATATATCATATATATGATAACAATATAATATAGTTAAATATATGCTTATATATATATATATTATATATATATATATATACTATATATAGTAATAATTATACCTATTATATATTATACATATAAATACATATACATACATACATATATATATATATATATATATATATATATAATATTATATATAATACATATATATATTTACATACATACATAATACATACATATATATATATATAATATATACATACATACAACCACAGTGAAAGGAGGGCAGTCTAGCAGAAGCGCCAGACGAACGCACACGATTCCCGCCATTAAAGGCAGATTTTGGCAAGCAGCCTCCGCCAAGCTTTCTTGCTTGAGGTTGGTCGGAAGCATTCGAGATAGGGAAATTGACGATAAAGTTTTGCTTAAGAAACAGGGAGAAGGAGAAAGTGAGATAGATGAACGGAGGTTGGTTGCGGGGGGGGGGGGTAGGAGGGGAAGGGGTAGGATGAGTACGAGAGGGGAAGGAGGGAGGGAGGGAGGGAGGGAGGGAAAGAGAGAACTAGAGAGAGGGAGGGGAGGGGGGAAGACAGACAGAAACGACACACAGAGAATGGGTGAAGAGAGACACATATGTACATACACACACACACCACGACCCCGCCGGCCTCGCCACCAGCACGAGTGACCATTCTCCAG